ATGGCCGCCTTGTCGTTGTGCCCGCGGTGACTGTCGCATATGAGGGGGACTCTGCTGTTGTCGTTGGTGACGGCGGTCCTTGCGTAGGGGTGACCGTGGGAGCCACAATGGGTTGCCGCGGTTTTGCGGCACGACTCCGACTCACGCCAACCGTCCCCGTCGACGACGCGGCCGCCCGCGCCGATCGAGTACGCGCGCCCGCAACTACGCTCTCGCCGGTGTCGCTGTCGCCGCGAGTGCTCGGACCCGCCGCATCTCCTCCGGGAGTATCGTGCTCTTTCGCGAAATGTGAGCGAACTGCTTTCAGGGAATACGCACCCGTTCCCCTGAAGCCACAAACCGAACATATATAACTAATCGTATCTCCCGGATGGCACGCTTTCAGATGTTTCGCTAGATGCGGCGGGTCACTGTATTTGCCCTGTACCCTGGCCTCCGGATTATTAAAACAGCGTTCGCAGTATACATTTGGAGGCACAGGGTACTTAATTATGTGCACCCGTGGTTCCGCCATTGCCAGCGATCAGTTAAAAAGGGCCCTCTTAAAGTCTGGAGAGACCGCCCGAGCGGCGGTCTCCCTGCGAGCAACGGGCCACGCGGATCCACGTGCTCGGAAAAAGATGGCGGGACGAACGCCTATGTTCCGAAAAACACAGGCGCCCGTTGGAGATACCGCACAGAGGACTTTAGGCGCTATCCGCAAAGTGCAGAGTCACGCCCGCAGCCATGTGCGGCAGCCCGCTCCCGTCACCTTCGCCCGAGCCCGCTTCACGTCCTCGGTGCCCGCACTCGCCGGCCCGTCTTCGCTATACTTACAGTTCGCTGGCAATGGCGGCTCCACCGATGCACTGGGCACTTGTGACAAGACACTTGTCACAATGTGGCAAGACACTTGCCACAGAACACGTCGCACTCACTGTAACTCGCGGCGACTCACGACTGGGAACTTGACCAGTGCACTTACACTTTTTGCACTTTTTACACTTTCTGCACTGGTCTCGATA